CCCGGGCTGAGCCCCGGCTTTAGCGGCAGCGGCGGCTCCCCGAAATGGCGCCCGCCGCGTCCGGCTGCTGGCAGGCTCGCGCACGGCACGGGGGCACCCAGCACCCAGCGCAGGGGCTCTCGCGAGAGGCGGCGGGCGCGGGCGCGCGGGGCCTTGTTCATCTCCACCTCTCGCGAGACATCACGTCCGGAAGCGGCGGCGGCCCAAACGCTCGCGAGAATTGACCAGGCGGGCGGGGTGGTCCGTCACGCGCCTTTGCGCTCTCGCGAGAGTTCGTGCGCCCGCCCGGGGCGCGGCGGAAGGGTCAGAGGTGACGGGTGGGGCCGCCGCCATCACCGGGCGGGCGCCTGCGGCCTACACCCCCGCGGCGCTGCGTCCCAGAGCCCCGCGCCGTGACCGGCCCGTGTGTCGGCTCGGAAACATTCCGCCCCCTTTGGGGGGCGGTCTGTGGAGCGAGAGCCCTCGCCCCGGGTGAGGGCAGCCCCGCCTTAGGGCAAAGGTGTTGCAGCTCCTCCTCGGGCCGGGTACCCTCCTGCCCTGTGCCCAGCCTCTGTCCTGGCCGTACACGGGTGTCTTGTCCAGGTTTGGTGCATTTGCTATGGAAAGTGTGACTTTTTTCCCCTTCTTGAGCACCATGACTTATTGTATAGTCTCTTAGCTCCAAAAGCTGTCTGAGCTTTTTAGATGTTAACTGCACTATACAGTTACTGGAGTAACAAGAGTGTATCTGTCCTGTCTAGACGGGCCATTTAACATCTGTATCCAAATTTCTACCCATGTGTGTTACATCAAATAACTTTATACTTGCTGTAAAGTAAAACTAATACCTTTCTTGAGGTCCCAGTTGACACATTAACATTTCCAGTGTAACATTACCATCTTGAGTGGCAGTGCTGAGTGGTGGTGTTCCCACACCAGATGAGGAAAGCCTGTTGGCTTTTCAACAGGCAAAAAGAACTGAACTGTTGTGACAAACACAGTGTGTGTCAGCCGTGCCCGGGTCAGGAAGTCCCCGAGCTGCTGACGCTGGAGCCCAAGAGCACAGCAGGAAGCATCGTTTGTGCTTACCTTGTTGGAATACTTTTGTCTTGGGCCAAATGGATGATGTGGATGATGGTCAGGGGTAGTGTTTGTTCCAAGCTTGTAATTTGTATTCACTGTTCCAAGCTTGTCATTTATTGGAGAGAAGGGTATAGCAGATTAGGTCATAGGTTGGGCAGGGCATGAAATCGTGTTCCTTCACAACTGTTTTTTCTGATGTGATGATGTATCATCCTCTGTGGTCAGACCTTCCTCCCTTTGGCTGAAGACTTGGCAGGATTCATTAAATTTAAGAGTAACAGCATCTGAAGGTGTTACGGCTGTACCCTTCTGCCAGACACTACACCCCCTTAATGGCCACCACTGTGTGACAGTTTTTTTGCCACTGTAGTCCCAGGTATAACTTAAATTGTCAGTGACCTGGTATTCTGGTATGGCTTTTGGCCCAGGCCCCCACAGGTTGCTAAAGCCTTGGAGCTGAATAGTTTAACTCAGAAAGTAGCATTTTGGGAAAAAAAAAAAAAAAGAAACCTGTCCATCTAATTAGCAGTGTTTTGTTTCCCCTGGGAGCCCACAAAATGGCAAATGGCTTATTTTTATTTAAATTTAATAATATGCAGTAAGTTTTGGCCAATTGTTAAACATAGTACAGATAACATTGAGTGGGTTTCCTGTTGAAGTCAGCATAAGATAAGCAATAATGGCTGGGGGGGCTAGGTTATTTCTTTTTTGCTCTAAAATAATGTAAAGAGAAGTTCTAAAAGAACTTTCTCCTGAAATTATAATTTTGCTATTGCATATAGAAATACTTAACCCAATTAAGGTATAAGAACTCAGGCCTATAATTTTCCAAATCCTGTTTTCACAGAACTCCC